TAAAATGCTCTGTGCTACTTCAGATTTACCTACTTTACCTCACTCTACATCAAAACTCCTAATCTCTCAGTGGCTGATTTCATCTTTAGGTGTCTACAGGAAAGCCTGTGATGAGATTAATTCATAGTATGTGTGTATAAATACCAACACCCCTCACCCTGACCCTGGTATTTGGATCTTGCAAAGAAGATTCTTATTAACACAAATGATTCAATGGTGGGATTTCAGGTAGTTGTAACAAAGGAAAGTGAAGAAATTCATAATGTTGGGGTCAGATACATTCAGGCTGTGTGCTTTTAGTTCAATCTATAATTCTAATTAGCAGGGGTTCTTAAATTGGGCCTTTGGGCAAATATCAGAGCATCCATGAAATTAGATGGCAAAAAAAGGACATCTTTATTTTCACTAACCTCCAAATGAAATTTAGCATTTCCTTCCATTATGATTTTTAAAAAAATATCTAATCAGTTGTCATGTCCTCCTGTTTCTACCTTTGGATCATCTCATGTATGTTCCCTCTGAGACTATCGCTAGGTTTTTCTGTACATATCATGTTAGTACATAGTTGTTCATTTGTTTTGTTTTGTTTTGTTTTGTTTTCGTAGGCAATGGTGTTTAAGTGACTTGCTAGTAAGTGTCTGAGGTCATATTTGAATTCAGTTCTTCCTGACTTCAGGGCCTGTGCTCTCTCCACTTCGCCACCTAGCTGCCCTTAGTATGCTGTTGTTTGCATATTTACATACTTTCTTTAGACTGAGCTCCTTGACAGCAGGGAATGTTTTTCCACCTTTCTTTTGTATCCCCAGAACTTAGCACAGTGCCTGGCACATAGTAGGCACCTAATAAATACTAGGTGACTGACTGACTGAGGACGGGTCCATAGGCTTCACTAGACTCTGAGAGGGCTCCATAGCACACAAAAGAAGTTCAAAATCCCAGTCATTTGGGAGGCCAGCCTTCCCTATCAGCTGAGACTGCAACTAGCCATATATTTTTTTTTTACTTGGAGCAATTTCTATAAAGTCTTTCTGGAATAAGGACAATTAAACACCTACTAAGGAGGCCACCTTGGAGCAGACTAGGGAGAATACACTTAGATTATATGTAACTGCATGCTTTTTGGTAACTTCCTATTTTACCTAATTTTGGAGTCAAAAGGGATCTTGTGAATCATCTCATCCAATTTCCTAGTTTTACAGGTGAGGAAACTGAGTCCCAAAAAGATTAGGTGTCTGAGCTAGACTCCTACTCCAGGATTTCTTTTGCTTAATCAGCTATTTGTGAATTGGGTATTTCTTAGTCTGAATTTCCTGTAAACTTGTACATGAGCATACAAATATCTCTCGAGTCCTTATGACTTTCTCTTGATAGCTTTAGAATAGTTCTCCTCTCCTCTAAATTATCATTTCCATTTAGGGCTGGAGAAATGTCTCCTTAGCTAAGCTAAAATTTGGCATGTCAAATTACAACCCTTCTCCCCACCCTACTCCCACCCTGCTCCCCTACTTATAAATCTTTGAGAGCAGAAATGCTGCCAGACCCTTATCAGGTATGGGAACAGCCTGCCAGGAAAAATGAATTGTGGTGCTGTTTGTATCCTTACTTCCCATCTCCTGACCTTGCTTCTTCTATTTTTGGACTTTGCTCAAGGGCAAATTTCTACTTTATGAAGGGCTTGTCAATTATAAGGCTTAATTTATAGTTTTCTTCACTCACAATATTGAAAATATTATCTTGTTCCAAATTAAACTCAAAGTTAGATCCTGTGGTCCTGTTTCACTACCTTTTTCCCCCCTTTCTGTAGTTTATTAAGGAGTGCTTTCATACACCTGTGATCTCAACCTTGTGGATACTCTCTCTATAGTTCCTTCTCCTATATAATTATTTTCTGTGTCTTTCCGTAAAGCTGCTTTAGAGGCTCAACCAACCAACAGATCAGTTAACAAATACTAAATGCCTACAATGTATCAAGCACTGTGATAAGCCCTGGGAATATGAAGAACAAAAACTAAAGCAACACTTGCCTCCAATCAATGTGGGTACAAGCGTATATAGTTAATTTTTTAACTTTTTGGTTAGGCAATAGGGTTAAGTGACTTGCCCAGGGTCACACAGCTAGTAAGTGTCTAGTGTCTGAAGTGGGATTTGAACTCAGGTCCTCCTGACTCCCGGGCTGGTGGTCTATCCACTTCACCACCTAGCTGCCCCTATATAAGTGTATACAAAGTAAGTACAGGGATCTGCTCCAATAAACTGAAGGCTTTCCTGTGGTTCTTTTAACATGTTGGGCATACCAACGAACCTTGAGGGCAGTTCCTCTGTTGTCTCTCAGTCTCACTGCATGACTCATTGTGAGGTATGGGAGTAGGATTTTTATGGGGAGAAGAGAAATAAGAAAACTTTCCCTTTTCTTTCTCTTGCAAGGATAAAGCTCTTTATTAAAATGCCTAAATTCAAATATCAAACAACATTTGAATCAATACAGTTTGACATTTAAATTTAGGTCTTTTAGTAGAGTATTAAAAAAAACTTTAAATACCCTTTATACTGTAAAGAGGTGTATTGGAAAGAGGAATATTTTTTAAAAACCTATAACTCCCCTTTACATTGGCAGAGGTATCAAACACAATGGTCCATGGACCACATGTGCCCACAATACTCTCTTGTGTGGTCCCAACCAGATTAAACTATAATTGGGAAATAGGTAACAGAAAAAACAAAAACGTAATGAAATTTAGGTAATTTTAATGTGTGGTTTTTGAATTCAATATTCAACCTGCAGGGATCCTTATGTATAGTTTAGTGGCAACCATTTCTATTTAGGTTTGACACCACTGCATTACAACATTCTAATAGACTCAGTCTCTACTTGCCTACTTCCAGTGACAGGGAGTTTATTACCTCAGGAGGCAGTCCATAGCATTGTTGGACAGCCTATTTCATTGTTAGGAAGTTTTTATGTTGACCTGTAATCGGCGTTATAGTAATGTTCCGTTGTTTCAAGTTCTTTCTTGAATAGTACAGAATAAATTAAATACCTTTTCCACCTGACTTGGATCACCCTCATGTAAGTTTTCTCTTTTCCAGGCTGAATGTTCCCCAGTCTTTCTTATGGTCCTCGTGGTGTAGTGGAAGGAGTGACAAATTTAGAGTCAGAAGACCTAGGTTCAGTATTCACTACTTGTGAGACCTTGAGTCTCAATTTCCCTATCTGCAAAGGAAAGATAATAGTATTTGTACTACATACTTCATAGGGTTTGTGTAGAGAACAAATGAAAAAATAGTGCTATATACACTAACTCTGTCTGTTTTAGTTTCCTCATCTGTAAAATGAGCTGGAGAAAGAAATGGCAAATGACTCCAATATCTCCCCAAGAAAACCCCAAATTGAGGCCACAGAGAGTTGGACATGACTGAAAAATGACTGAACAATATGTTATATTATGTTATGTTATACTATATCACATTATTTAGAAATACAGTGTGTGTGAGTGTGTGTGAAAGTGCTATATACATGTGAGTTGCTATGATTCGATGGCAGAGTTGGCAGATTACTCACCAACTTTGTCATTTTCTTCTCGAGTTTGTCATTGTCAATGTTTTTCTGGAGTTTGTCTTTGTTCTTTTTAAAACAAGATGTCCAGAACTGAATAGGTATGCCAGCTGTACTCTGACCAGCACAGGATATGATTGATTAGGTTTTCTAGATGAAGTCAGTATATATTTCGTTTAATGAAGTTTTAAGACTTATTAGCTTTTTTGGCAGTCCCATCCTATTATAACTTGGGCAAGAACTTTTCCCAAAGAGTATTAATTCCCCTTTCTAGGGCAGAAAGGTTTATAGGCCATTTTCCTGATAATAGCCTGGCCTCCTAATGTTGACAGTCCATTCAAAAAGCCAAACAATCCCCTCTAATCTGAAATTTGGGGTTGAGAATTACTTCTGGAAAGAGTTTAGTGCCTCCATCCTAGTTCTCACCAAATTCCACAGCCATTCTGGAAAATAGGAGTTTGCTCAGTCTTTTGGCATAGACTGAGCAAACTCCTGTTTTCCAGAATGGCTGTGGAATTTGGTTTTTTGGTTAATTAGGTCTTGTGGTAAACTAAAACCTAGCATGTGTACCATAGTAGGATTACTAAATTTCAAAGAACCGGAAGATAGGAATACTTAACTTAGAACTATTCTTACTCAAATTTTCACTTTCTTTGATGATTCAGAAGGGAGTTGAGGATATTGTAGTGCCCATGGATATTCATTATGAGCGTATCTATATAGAGAAGCGGACTAGCATAGTGGATAGTGTGTTGGCCATAGAGCCCGAAAAATCTAGGTTCAAATCCCACTTCTGACACTTATTAGCTTGTTATCTTGGGCATGTTCCTTAACCTTTTTTAAACCTCAGTTTTCTTATCTGTAAAGTGATGTGGTAGGACAAGAAGGAAGGACTCTTAGGTTCCTACCGGTTCTAAATCTATGATCCTATAAGACTACAGATGTAGGATAGTAGCATATAAAGGAATCTAGGCCGAGGTTGTACTGACCTTGTGATGTACTGTGGCCTCTCTGACATGTATTAGAACTTTTTATTTTTATTTTTTTATTTTTTATAGTTTATTTTTTAAATTAATTTATTTTGATTTGTCAACAATCACTTCCATTAGCTTTTGAGTTTTAAATTTTTCTCCCTCTCCCTCCCCATCTCCCTCCCCAAGACAGCATGCAATCTGATATAGGCTATACGTATACATTCCTATTAAACATATTTTCACACATGTATTAGAACTTTAAAAAATAGATAATTCATACTATCAACCTCCTTATTTCTAATATATTTGTTTCTCCTAAAATTTGAAAATAGAATGTGGAAACAAATAAAACTGAATGCTATTACAGATACTTGGGCCTAATTTAGAGGCTGGTTAAACTGAGTTTAAAGTATGTATAATTGCTTTGGAGGGCTCTTTTTGGAGTTAATTTAGAAATGTTTCTCTTTGTTTAGGAGCGCCAGCAACTTCAACTACAGCTCCTTCAGCATGAGACAGAAATGTCTGGAGAAGTTGTCAGCACAGATTTTGACAAGAAAAGGTAAGCTATAATATCTCGTCTTAAAATGAATGGCCTCAGTGATCTAGCATTTGTAATTGAAATCCTGTCTCTATAGGCAACACCTTGCCTAGATAGAGCTTTCATTTTCATATCATTTATCTCATTTGTATGGAGTTTTAGTAGCTTATATGTTGGGACATATAAAAGGTTATTTCAGAACCATGGCTTAGTGGATAGGTACTGGCCTCAGAGACAGACCTGGATTCAAATCCTGCCTCTGACATACTGAGCAAATCAATTAGCTTCTCAATCTTCTAGGCAACACTCTATGTTGAAGAGAGGATGCTGACCTGCATTGGTAGAGGGAGTTCCTTGTCTGGGAGTTCCCTAAGTCAATGAAATCACAAATCCAGTCCCTGTCCCTCTCCAGGGAAAGTTCAGTCTGTGAAATGTTTTCCATCATTTGATTTGTGTCAGGGGCTGAATTGCTCATTGTTCAATAGAATGTACCAGTTTGATGAAGAACCACCATTGAGATGGATTCCAGTTTCCAGATTTCAAAAATTTGACTGTCTCTCCTACCTTGTTCCCACTTGTTTACAGAAATTGTTGGGGCAGCAAGGTGGTGCAGTGGATAGAGCACTGGCCCTGGAGTCAGGAGGACCTGAGTTCAAATCCTGCCTCAGACATATAACACTTACTAGCTGTGTGACCCTGGGCAAGTCACTTAACCCCATTGCCTAGCCAAAAAAAACAAAACAAAACAAGAACTAAACAAAAAAAAGAAATTGTTAACCAAAACTTTCTTTGTACAAAGTAAAATGATCTCCAGCTATTTGTTTTACTCTGAAAATAGGAGAGTGGCATTCATAAGCAACAGAAATGTTGCTAATCCATGAAAAATTCTAAGTGGAGCAAATGTTTCAAGATAATAATGCTGCTTTATATTTTCTTCCTTTACAATTTTTTGAAGTGATAGGATTCTTCTTTTTCTCAAGGCCAAATGTTTTAACATCCCCCACTCCTCACCCCTGCCCGGCATCATTCTTCTGGGGCATATCCTGTAGGTGATAGATAGTTAAAGCTTGAAACAACCACATTGTCCTTCATGGATTATATAAAGATGCCTCATTAAACCCCAGGATTCCACAAAACGTTGTTTGGAATCAAATACAGTGAATTCAACAAACCATTTATTAAATGCTGACTCTGCTAGACATTGAGTATGCTACAAAAAAAATAATGCTGTCCTTCCCCCAAGAAGTTTACAATCTAATTTGGGCAAATGCATCTCCCCAAAAAATATGATGGAAGTTAAAATGAAATAGGGGCAAAGGAAAGATACAAAGTACTATATTAATGTTCATTAGAAAACAAAAATACTTATTACTTTCCAACATGACTTTCTTTCCTTTAAACCAATGCCAATCACAGGTGAGGTCTTTAACTTTTATAGCTGTAAGAATACTGAAGTTGGAGTCAAAAGACTCAGGTGTAAGACACATTTCCATCACTTTCTAGCCATGTAATCTGGGACAAATCACCTAATCTCTTTGAACCTTTGTTTCTTCTCCTATAAAAATGATTGATGGTAAAAACTGTCCTGCTCTCTTGAAGGGTAATTGTGAGGATCAGATAAAATAGTGGATATGAAGGACTTTGTATACTTCCATACAAACCTAGCTTTTCTCTCTCAACTTTTTCTTCCTTTCAACAAAATAGAGGTTGGCAAGGTTATGGTTCTTTTTAACAATCCAACTTATTAGTGGGTACTTAAGGAAGTATATCTGAATAGATATTGCTAATGAATACACATGCAGAAGATACTGGATTTCACATCTTAGGTTATATTTCTGAAACAGTTTGACTATATGTGTTGATTATATTGCCTCCAAAAGTAATTCACTTGTTTTATATTCTCCTGATGTCAGGTATCAGCAGCTGGAGGAGGCAGCAGCTAGCCTGCGAGAACGCATTAGACACCTGGATGACATGGTCCATTGCCAACAGAAGAAAGTCAAGCAGATGGTTGAGGAGGTAAGCTTTTCATAAAGTATTATAATGCCAGAAATGCTGCCCATAGACTTTAACAGCCAGTTAAGAATGAGGACTCTTTGGCCAGCAGGTCAGATCTAGATCTCTGTTTGATTTCATCAGCTCTTGGGTCAAATTATTCTGACCACAATCATTTTAGCACAGAGATTAATGGCCCTTGGCACAAGTTTCTGTGGCTATCCCTTTCACAGTGGAGATTCATGAGGTTAAAAGATTAAGCACTTGAACATATTCTAGTAGCTAATCAGCTGAATAGTTTTCAAAGGGCTGTGGTAACTTATTTTGATGCCCATAGTCCAGTGTTACACAGGGTATGATGAGAGCTGCTAGTCTCAACTAGTGGTCACTGCTAAACTGGCTAAGTCTCTTTCTGTCTCTAACTTTATCTCTTATTTCCCTCTCCTCTCTCCTTTTGATGCCTTCCATTCTCTCTCCCTCTCTTTCTCTCTTCCTTCCTTTCCCTTTCCCTTCCCTTCCCTCCTTTTCTTTCCTTTCTCTATCTTCTTTTGTTGCTCTCCCTCCACTTTTCTCTCTCCTACTATATTCCTTCCTCATCTGTCTATGCTTTCGACCTCTTTTTCTCCATTTTCCTATTTCTTCCTTACTCTTTCCCTTTATCTCTATCCCCATTGCTTTCCTAAATTAGCTATTATATCAAACCAAACTATATCATTAATATCTGTTGTACTTGTTGAATAAAGTTTCATGTTTCCTGTTCTTAATTGACATAGTAGGTAAGTCAAGTATTTTATATTTCTTTTAAAAAAAAAAAACACTTGAAAATTAAGTTTCTTTTTTACTTCTAGAAGGTTCCCCTCACCTTTGGAGGGGGTAGTTCATAACCCCTGATTTCTGTCATAAAGTCTGATATTAGTTGTTTGGTACTGTGATACATTATGCCACTAGTTATGCATTTGTGAGTCATTTTTCTTACACAAATTTTAAAATTATTTCCAGTGCCATTTCATTTGCAAACCTGATTAAAAAGAGAGGCATTGACATTCCAGCTGGTTAGTAAAAATTCCTCAGGGTCTGATTCCCTTTCTCATAAAAAAAAGGGAGGTTTCAACATAATTAGACCCCTGGTGAGTCAAGTAAATATTGAAAAGATATATATATATATATATATATATATATATATTTACATTGGGTATTGCTGTAAACATTTGAAATTTGCTGATTAAGTTTTGCCAATATAGAAAAATGATGGAATTACTGCTAAGGTTGGGAGTGTGGAGCAGGAAAGGGGAAGGGCCTTCTATGCTGTTGCTTTAAAATATGATTTAATTAGCATCTTGGCCTAAAATGAGAAATCAAATCATATCATGTTGTATTTTGTGAGTCCTTTTCGTTGGCTCTGGACTTTTCAGATTGTTCTTATGCCCTTGATATAAATGAAAAATCACACATATCCCTCCCCTTTAACCTCCTACCCCTACCCTGCCTCTGCCCTCCTTGTGCATCTGGAGAGCTGCTATGGCACCCACGGTACCTGTACCATAAGAATAGCATCCCTATTGGCTATTGTTACGGAGTCACTTCCCAAAGCGAAAATGTTCCTTTTCTGTTAGTCACTTACAGTAGGCAGAGCTTGGACTCGTTATTGCACAGGAAATTCTTAGAGACCATAAACAAAATCAGAAATCTTTTCATGTTCCATTACAACCTATGAGAGATTACATTCAATGTTTCTCTAGTACTGGATATTGAGGAAATCATAGGATGCTCTCTTTTGCTATTGGCCCCAATATTCCCTACCTAATTTGGGGGCAGAATCTTTTCCTTTTTGAGAACGTTAGCTTTGTTTTCCCCTCTCTTCTACCACGTCACTTCTTAAATTGCAAATATTTAACATTTTGTCGAATTGCTCCCTACTAGATGGAATCATAGTGTTCCGTGTCTTCCTCAGAATCTAGTAATAGATTACTACATTTCCAGGCACCGTGCTAAACACATGTAAATATGTGTAAATTTCTGATTATGCTGTTCTTGCTCAAACTTAAAAGAGCTACAGTCAAATTTAGGAAATTCATTTCAACAAACATTTCACGTTCAGGAATGCTGGCTTTCATTTTCTTCAGTGGTTTGGAAATCTCTGTTCTTCATCTTGAATCCAAAATATAATCAACATATAATTTTTAAAGATAAAACATTATTGTAAACAACTGGGGGCCCAGGGCAAGAGGCGAGGGAATTATAGTGAATGCCCATATCCTTCTGTTGTATATGTTGTTAGCCTACCCAGATAAGCTCCTGTAAATACTACTAATATCTCTAAACCCATTTGTTGGAATAAAGTTACAGCTTAAGAGAAATGATGGTATGTGTGTGTGTATGTATGAATGTGTACGTGTATATGTACATAGCAGAGATGGTACTTCTGGCTATGATCCTGAGATTTATTGGCACATTAAGACCTTACTTTAAAAATAAAAACATTATACTCCTGAATCAGGTCTTTTGAAGAGTATTATATCTGTTCCTTCTTTTAAAAAAATGAGGTTTTAAACCAGGATATCAATCACATATTCCTTTTATTTTCTGTTTGCTTCAAGTTGCAGAGAAAATGAGTGCTTTGAAGTTTCAGTTTCTGTAGTAATTAACATGGCAACTTTTTGGGGGATTGTTTTTCAAAGTCATCTTTGAAGTACTTTGACAAAATGAAATGTATCCTGAGGAGGGTGATCAAAATGGCATGTGGGATATAAAAATCATGTCCTGTGAGGACCAGTAGAAGGGATTGTCTAGATTTATCCAAAGGATTAAGCCTAAGGAGATAAATGATATTTGTCTTTACATTTTTGAAGATCTATCATGTTGGGGAGAGCAAAGGCTTGTGCAGAAGAGTAAATATCAAAGAGGTAAATTTTGGCTCAGCATAAAATTGAACTATTGAACAGAGCTGTCCACTAGAGGAATATGATGCCCTAGGAGGGAGGATGGCTATCTGTCAGGGCTTTGAAGAAAGGATTGCTCATTTGAGTGGGAGGTTGAACTGGATGACCACCAAGACCAAATTTTGACTCTAAAATTTTTATGATCTGAAGTACATCTGGTTTTTTACTCTATAAAAAAAATCTCATATATCTAATGATGGCATACCATAATTCAGGTAAATATCAGTATTTCCATTATTTTGGGAAGGTGGGTCAAATCAGGAAAATTAAAATCAGGTCAGGTTGTAAAGACAGACTTTGAGAAGCAAATGGGCTTGAGAGATTAGTTGTGAGATCTTTTTCCAGTGAACCAAACATCTGTTTATCTGGCTACAGAGTGAGTTTTTATTGGTGGCAAATTGGTGGTAGTTTCCCCTACACTATATTGAAGCCTGAAGCTCATGAGTATTGTGGACTGAGGGATCAGGCTCACTGCTAAATATTAATCCATACATGGTATATCGTTTTAGTCATCATATCTATGAAGAAATTCTATACATTAAAATAAGTGCTTTCCATTTTTAAATCAAACCACCCAAAATTACACTGCTATGTGGTGTAGTCCATTCTGTATATAGTCCATTTGTAAAAACAAAAACAAAAACTTGCCTTTCCATGTTACTTGAAGTTCTTAAGCTACTTATGTGGTCATTCTCATAGTGAGGGTGTGTCAGACTTAATTTATATGTAATATATATATGTGTATATCTATCTGTGTATATATATGTGTGTGTGTATCTATGCATATATATCTATGTATATGTATATATATGTATATATATATACACACATACACACACAAATATAAAAAGAAACAGTGCGGGATTTAAAGTCAGAAGTTGTGGGCCCAATTCCAGCTCTACCACTAACTGTTTAACATTGGCCAGATTGTTTCTCTTATTTGAGTCTCAATTTTTTCATTTAAAAAAAAATGAGAATAATAGCTATACTACCCACCTCACAGGGTTGTTGTGAGGAAAAAGCTTTGCAAACTACGAACTTCTCTGTGAGTATGATCTATATATGCCCTAATGTAGAACTCTACACATGACTAGAATGATGAGTCATTTTTTCAGTCGTGTCTGACCCTTTGTGACCCCATTTAGGGTTTTCTTGGCAAAGATACTGGAGTGGTTTGTCATTTCTTTCTCCAGTCTCACTGAGGCAAATAGAGTTAAGTGACTTGCCCAGCGTCACATAGCTAATAAGTGTCTTAGGCTAGATTTGAACTCAAGGAGATGCGTCTTCTGGACTTCAGGTCCAGCACTCTATCTACTCCAACACCTAGCTGCCAGAAAGATACAAGATGTTCAAGAAAGATGGGCAGGGGAAAGAAAGGAGCTGATCTCTTTTGCATGAAAGATGTGTACATATTCTCAGCTGGAGAAAGTCAAAAGATAAAATGCCTTCCCAAGAAAGACCACCAGACTAAGTTATAGTCTAAGAAATACGGCCCTAATTAGACAGGTGAAATGAATTGGACTTGTTTGGTCAATAGAAAAGACTATAAGGGTCACAACTTCAAATGAATGTAAGGCTATTACACAGTGGGTGCGGCCCAGCTATTATCTGTTTCCACAGAGGACTTGACTAGGAGAAAGATATTAGGGCTTAGGGACATGTCCAGAACAGGAACATTCTCTGGTCTCTCCATTGTATTCCTTATCTGGACAGCCTTTGGGGTGTAGACTAGGCCTTGGATTAGACTTTATGCATTATGCAGTATGTAGGTTAGGCACCAAGTTTCCCAAGTGTCATTCCCTGGCACACAATGGGCCCTTAATAAATGCTGACTGATTGTCAGTTGTCATTGCAGCAGAGAGAGGGAGGAACAGACCAGAAGAGTAAATTGTTTAACTATCATTAAAAAGATACTTGCTTTTATTTGTATAATCTATTTCCCTCTATTAGCACATATTTTAATGCCCAAATGAGGGGAAGGGTGAGTATGCACAGGGATGAACTAATGGGGTAAACTCACCAATTACCAAGGAAGACAGTTAATTCTTCTTATCACTCACAGCTCTGTTCCTTGAAGGCTTGGGCAAAGCACTTAACTGCTGTTAACACCTCTTAAGCCTTCAGACTTGCAAACACAGTCATTCACACCTCTTCAACTGCTCTGACCCAGCCTACTACCTTTGCCAAACAAAGCATCCCACTGCCTGTGGAAAAATAATGTGAAGAAGAAAAAAAATCTCATAATTTTCCTCAGATTTAGTGGAGAGATGGGGAAGTATGTGAGCGGATAGTTTTGTAATTGCATAGTTGTGCAAATGGGTGCACACATTATTATTTAGATTAATAAGGAGTAACTTAAATCATTATTCCTGTCGCACTTTCCATTTCAACCAGCAGAGAGCATTCCAATTATGTCCTGCATCTGATGTCTCTTTTGTAGGTATCTAATTCTTTCTCTACAAAAAAGTCAGTTCAAGGGGCTTTCTTGTTAACAATGATCAGAGGCGGGCTTGGCTTACTGCATAAGAAAAGAAGCTATAATTAGTTCTTATTTGTTAAACTAGATCCTAGGTGGGTACAGAAATGTAGCTCCCTAAGGTGCTACTTCACAACACTAACCTAAACTTTTGCCAACTATGTGCCCAAGTCTTTATTTAGCTAGTCCTCCCTCAGCATATCCTCCACCTTTGGTCCTCTCTATTTTGACCTATTCTAAACACCAGGAAAACCTCAGCTAGCTGAAGTTAGGCTGATAATCCAGAGTCTGAAGCCATAAATGAGACAGAAGCACAGAAAGGAATGACCCCAGAAGCATCCACGTTTAAACAGGTGATGGGGAGGTTTGCCAGCATCCATGACCTTCATCATCTCCCATTGGAGTGTTATGTCGCACCATCTCCAGTCCTCCAGGAGTTCTTAGGCTGTCAGAGCCACAAATAATGACTAGAGAATGCTTGTTTTCTGACTGATGGCCTTGTGTATATACATAAAAGCCTTGCAGAGGCTGTCCAGATAGATTGAGAGTGAAGATTTTTCTCAAGTAGAATGTGTGTCATGTTTAACAGGAAGCAGAGATCAGGTGGAATACAACATAACCTGTTCCTGTATGAACTATACCTAGGGATTACCAATACCTGAACATGATTTGTTTGTCCTCTTTGGACTCTGGTCCCCCAGGACAAGTACAAGTGTCTCCCCATCTCTTCCCCCACTAATTTAAAATATTCAGGAAGTGTCTGTGAAAGTTGGCTGTTCTACAGCTTCTTAGGAAGGGAATAGAGCCTTGTGGTGGAGGCACCTGCCTGTAATCCTCACTCCTGGGGAGGCTGAGGTTGGTGGATCACTTGCACTTAGGAATTCTGAACTGCAGGAAGAATAAAACTGATCAGGTGTCCACACTGAGTGTGGCACCAGTATGGTGAGCCCCAAGGAGTGGTGGGGGCAGGCAGTGTGCTCCGGGCTGTGAAAGAGGGGCAGACTGCCCAAGTTGCAAATGGAACACGTCAGAGTTACCCTTTGTATCACAAGTGGGGTCAGAATCAGGGTTGTGCTGTGTGGAGTTAATGCACCTTTAGTGTGGGTGAGATGGGGAGACAATCCGAAAGAAAGAAAAGGAAAGGAAGGAGGAAAGAAAGAAATTCAAAGTAATTCAGGTCTTGATTTCTTTTTTCTTAAGTATCAAAATGAAATACACCTTTGCACAATTTCTGAGTTGTTTTTCATAGAATAAGCTAGAAGGGACCTTAGAAGTCATCTAGTTATCTGGAATTCTTAATCTGAGGCATTGGTTTCCTCTATAACTCTATGTATTTGATTTTAAAGCATTATTCTGAGGAGCCCATAGACTTCCCCAGACTGCCAAAGGTGTCTATGATACAAAAAAGTTAAGAATTTCTGATCTAGTCTGACCTCCTCACTCTATAGATGAGGAAAATGAGGTTCAGATTGATGATAGCATCACTGGAGCATGATCTCAGGCTAGAGAGGACATTAGACTTCCTTTACAGAGATGCCAATGTGAAAAGTCTTATGTAGGTAGAAGATATGTGTCCCATACAGAATGGGCATATAATCATTTTGGGTAGAAAAAGACAAGGTTGGACCTACCTGCTACCCATATCACAAAGGCATTTTTTTAGAGTATTTATTTTTTTCTTTTGAGGCCTTAAAAACTAAATCTGGCTTTTTTGGATAGCTTTTCTTAACTCTTCTTCTGTCTATATATTGCTACTGATCTTCAATACTTTTCATCTTCAAAATCTCCCTTATCCATAACATTTGTGCACACAAGCATTCTTTTGTTCTGTTTCTTTTTCCTCTACATTTTTTTTTTTACATAATTCCTTGACACACACAGTCATTTGAAGGCCCTTACCAATACAAGTTGTACAAGCTGAACCATACATGTACTGAATTTCAGACTGTTTATCTTGCCATTGGCCTTGTATTCAGTCTGTTTTTTATTTTCTAAAGATAAAAAATAAAATCTGCATTATCTTTATTGGTCAGAGATTCATGGTCTCATGAATGAATAATTCCATTTTAAATGGGGGAGGGAAAAAGGAAAATTTTCTATAGAATCTAGAACCCTAATCAACTGAATTGAACTGTTTCTAGATCATGTCACACGAGCTCTTCTCCAGATTTAGTCTTCGTTTCTTTGGAAGATGATAAATGGTGACCTGATCTAAGAAGCTTTTCTAATTACCCTGTGATGTACCATATGATGCTGGAAGAATATTCGTGCTGGAGAGGTGACACTTACCCATTGGCATCCAATGGCCAAAATATTAAGGAAATGCCATTAAGAAGAAAAATCCTAGGACTTTTGGTTTTGGGAAAATATCCACGTAGTTAAATACTGCACAGAAGGAAAATTACATCTTGTATGCTGCAAACAGAGAAGTGAAAAAATCTTAAAGACTGATCCTTTGGAATATTTCAGAAACTGTAGGCAGACTTCAAGATTAAAAAAAAGAAAGTTCTCTTATTAAATCTGAAAATGCAAGCAAAAATGGTATTAAGGAAGTGACATTTGGAGGCTGGGTTCCAGACAATCTGTACATGAAAAATAAAAGCTTATGTATAGAAAAAAAGGAATAAATACTTTATCAAGGACATTTCTGATGAGATATGGAAAACCATGTGAAGATGGTATAAGGATCATCAATGTGTCTGATTTTCAAATGGATCTGAGCTGAGGAAATTATCCTTACAAAATCACTCTCAATCCTTCAAGAAAAAAAATAAGCCAAAAAAAGGGCTTATATGATTTTTAGCGGCCAAATAATGTATCTTTAAAATGTGGTGGGTATATGGAAGGCTGTTCTGATGGAATAGACTTAAGAATTGAGCCCTGAATTTTTAAGAAAAAAAATGCTTGATTTGAGGCTGAATTGGATCATTTTCCTCTCTGGACCTCAGGTTTCTCATCTGTAAAATAAGTGTGGCAGGTCTAGAAGGTCTCTAAGGTTCTTCCTAGCTCTAACATTCTGTCACTGATTTGCTTCTGATACTAAGAACATCCTACCAGGCCTGAGGCAGTTCTGCAGTGGAAAGAATGTTAGATTTAGAGTGCAAAGACCCTAGTTTGAATTCTGGCTCCCTCTTTCACTTACTGTGTAGCCTAACTTCTCTGGGCCTCAGTTTACTCATTGATAAAATGAGGGCTTTGGAGTAGATGCCCCTCAAAATCCCTTTCAGCTCTAAGTCTAGCATCCTATGCTCTCTAAAAAGAAAAAATGTATACTTATGCGAAAACAGATGCATTAAATATATTGAAGTAAAATATACTTCGTCTATGCTTTGGATTTTACAGTGTTTCTGAGAGGCAGCAGGGTTTGGCAGAAACCACACTGGGCTTGGGTTCGAATTTCAGTTCTGCAGTTTACTTATTGCATGACCTTGGGCAAGTCATAGAAATTCTTTCGATCTTCATTTCCTCATCTCTAAAATGGAGATAATAATACTTATGTTAACTATCTTACCAGGCAATTATAAAGATTAAATGAGATATCATATGTAAAATGCACTATACCCCTAAAGTCCTGTATAATAGTGATTTTTAGGGAGGCAGTGGTGGTGTAGTAGAAAGAACACTAAAACTATTATAATAGTTAGCATTTATATAGGCATTAAGGTTTGCAAAGTGCTTTACATATGTTACCTCATTTTATCCTCACAACAATTTTGGAAGGCATTTACTTTTATTATCCCTATTTTTACATATGAGGAAACTGAGGGACACACAGGTTAAATTACTTGCCCAGGGTCACATAGCTAGTCCAAGGGAAGATTTCAACTCAGGTTTTCCTAACTCCAGGTCCAACATTTTATTCACCACATCTCCTAGATGCCTAAGAGTTCTTGTTATCTTTGTGACTTTGGATGAGTCATTTAATTAGCATCTCTGAACTTGTTTCCTCATCAGTAAAGTGAGGGGAAGTGTCATCAGAATAGATAATCTAGCTTTAATGTTATTTGATTTCCTAAAGAAACAAAACAAGTTGGCATGAAGTAGTATCTTACTCAACCTCACAATATTCTCGTGGAGTAAGTGGGTGGTATTTTCTCAAGTTAAGAGAGTGAGACTTGGAATAATAGTCAGTTAATAAACATTTATTAAGCACCTACTATATGCCAGGTACTGTGCTAAGCACTGGAGATACAAAGAAAGGCAAAAAGCACTCCCTTTTCTCAGGAATCTCCCAGTCTAATGGAGGAGGAAGAAATGGAATAAAGAAATGAGGTAGATTTAAATAATTGATGATTAGCATCTGACCTGCAAATGAAGGGACTATATCTAAATTATCTAGAAATCTTGTGAATGCCTCAGTGGCAGACTCGATGTACCATGCTCCTTCCTAAGCATCCATCCTTGGATTTTCCTTTAAATTTCATTGACCAGTGTAAATGAGGAGAGGAAGTGTTGCTTAATGGATAGAGACTTGGCCTTGGATTTAGGAAGACCTGAGTGGAAGTCCTTCTGATACATCCCTGGCAAATCTCTTAACTATTCATGCCCTGAAGTCACTCTTTAAGACCAAATTGCTGATGTCTTGATCTGGATTGGTAAAGAAAGTTGCTTTTGATGAAATCACAGGTCTGAACAAACACAACCACACAAAAGTGAGGGATAGGTTCAGAAGGCAGAGAAGTGAATGATTTGCACAGTAAAGTGCAGCTAAGTGGCTCTGTGGATAGAGCGCCAGGCCTGGAGTCTTCCTGAGTTCAAATACAGCCTCAGATACCAGCTGTGTAACCCTGGGCAAGGCACTTGTTTGCCTCAGTTTCCTCACCTGTCAAATGAGCTGGAGAAGGAGATGGCAAACCATTCCAGTATCTTTGCCAAGAAAACCTCAAATGGGGTAACAAAGAGTCAGACGTGACTGAAAAATAACTAAACAACCAACTAAAAAGGATGACAGTAACATCATAGAATGTTTAAACTGGGAGGGATCTCACAGATGATCAAAATACATGAATGAGGAAACTGAGGCCCAGAGAAATGAAGAGACTTGCTATGGTCACTCAGATGTTATTGCAAATATTATTACATTAAGTTCAAATGTAAGCTCCTTGAGGGCAGCACCTATTATATTTTTGTCTTTGTATCCTCAGTAACTAGTACAGTACCTGGTATACAGTAGGTGCTTAAAATGCTTGTTGATAGATTAGTTGACCCAACTAACCTTTTTATTATATAAGAGGGCCAAGATTAGGTGGAGCAGTGTATAGAGTGCTGGGCCTGGAGCCAGGAAGACTCATCTCTCTGAGTTCAAATCTGGCCTCAAACACTTACTTGTTGTGTGACCCTGGGCAAGTCACTTAACCTTGTTTGCCTCAGTTTCCTCATCCATAAAATGAGCTGGAGAAGGATATGGCAAATCATTCCAGTGTCTTTGCCAAGAAAGCCCCAAATGGGGTCACAAAGAGTCAGACACGACTGAAATAATTCAACAGCCGCTACTAAAAGCACCAAGACATTGTAAACCGCAAATTTGTTATGACATATTCAGTTTAGATATTTATAAATTTAAGTAAGAATATGAGACGTTTGTGTTGAAAATAATGATTCTACTGTAGTATTGTTTCCTACAGTTTCTCTAGTAGTTTATCTTTTCTGCCTTGATTTTTCTTCAGTGTCTCCGGTGGTGAAATTTCCATTGTTTATCTTGCTAGTATAATTTATTAGAGTCATAGAAAGAAATAAGTGCCATGAGCCTTGTGGAGAATGTACCTGAACCCAATGACTATGAAAACATTCTTGTTCAAATCTTGCCTCCAATGCTTACTACTTATGTACACATAGAAAAGTCACCATAGGGGCAGCTAGGTGGCACAGTGGATAGAGCACAGGCCCTGAAGTCAGGAGGACCTGAGTTCAAATTCGGCCTCAGACCAAACACTTGACACTTACTAGCTGAGTGACCCTGAGCAAGTCACTTAACCCCAATTGCAAAAAAAAAAAAAAGTCACCATAGCCCCCTGAGCTTCAGTTCCCTCATCTGACCTAAGGGGGTTGGGTGTTGGACGAGACTGCCTCTGAGGTAACTACTATGTAAGTGTCCAAGGCTGGATATGAACTCAGATCTTTCTGTCTCTGGGCCCAGAACTCTATCTACTCTACCATCTAGCTCCCTGGTAGCTTTAAATCCCCTGCTCTGAGGAGGACCTAAGATTCTACTGGCTCTAACCACTTCAAAGATATTTCTAGTGTCCCTGATCCTACTTCAGTCAAGGGCAGGGTTTTCTTATAGGCCCTTTGCCATTTTTTTTTTTTAGTTATGTTCACCTCCTTTGAGTTCAGGGCACACCCAGCAGCAACTACAGAAGACAGAATCCAGCCCTGCTGATGCTGCATTGGCTGATTTTCTGACCTCCAGGGTGCTGAAACCTACTTCCTTTTGCCTGAAGGGACTCCCCTAGGCTTGACCCATTATCTGCTTGAGTACTATTGCTTAGCAAAATTCTGATCTTTGTCATTGCTAGTCACATCCCAGTATGAGGTTGCCACTAAAAAATATTTATATATAAAGAATTTTTAGTAAATAGAAATATTAAAATTCTAAATGCCAGGATTTGGCATGGTCTTGTTCTTAGCTTGATGTTTAAATATTAACATATTTTACTTAAAGTATGAAGTTTACAATCAATGCCAGAAATATTTATATGTAAGCCTGGTGTGTGTGTGTGTGTGTGTGGGTGTGTGTGTGGGTGTGGGTGTGGGTGTGATGGAAGGCAATAGAGGTAGCTAGGTGGCACAGTGGATAAAGCCCTGGGCCTGGAGTCAGGAAGACTTGAATTCAAATCCATTGTCAGACACTTAAGACACTAGCTGTGTCACACTAACTGTCATCTGGGCAAGTCATCTGACCTCTGTTTTCCTTAGTTTCCTCAACTGTAAAATGGGGATAATAGTAGCACCTACCTCACAGGGTTGTTGTGAGGATCAAATGAGATATTTGTAAAGCACTTAGCACAGTGCATGGTACATAGTAAGCACTATAAAAATGCTTATTCTTTTCCCCCTTCCCTTTCCCTACTGCAACTTCATTTTATGAAGTATATGTAAATATAGATGTTGTTCATATTGTTCTTTTAAAGCTGGACATGTTTTCCTTGCAAATGTTATTAAATAAACTCCATTGTTCTACAGATTAGTTGCTCTTTGGGCTCCAAATATATCCAGAAGGACAAATATATCTAGAAGGTTCAAACTCTTCCTATGAAAGCAGGGGACCACAGGAGTAAGCCATCAATATCACTTAAGCATTGAGGCACTTCTTGTAGGACATGCCAATGAGATGAATGTTGTTATGGCCACTTACAGCTCTTGTATATCCCTTGGGGAATGTGGTCCCTAATCATCCATAGAATATCCAATCTAGGAGCCAGCAGGGGTGATGGAGGAAGGTGGGGAGTTTAGCTTGGGCTAAATGCAGTGATGAGGTCTCACTGGTACACACTGAACAAGAACCCCTTTGCCTTGGGGTGGGGAAGGTGGCAGAGTGTTGTGGTGAATAGAATGCTGGAGTTGGTGTCAGGAAGACTGAGACACTTGGTAACAGCATGATCCTGGGTGAGTCATTATATTTCTCGGAAGATATTGAACTCAGTGATGTTTAAGTTCTCCTCCAGTTCTAATAATGTGGGCCTAGAACTTTTAGTAGCATTGTTGAAACATTCTTCTCAGGCACCTCCCATAGGAGATGCCTGTTCTATTCTCTGATCCTTTCTTCTATCACTGATTTATGGAAAATAGTAATTCTATACATGTGAATATTGTGTATGATTAAAAAGAGAGCAAAAAGGAAAACTTGATAGCAGTACATACATTCATTGGAAATATGCAGACTTGCCCACCTGAGTCTGAAACAATCTTGTCTCAAGAAATTTCACAACTGCTGCAACTGAATCCCAAGAAATTTGCATTCGCCGCCTGTGAGAGCAGGGATAGAAGAGCTTGACACAAGCTTTTCCCACTTCTTCCTCTCAAGGAAATGACAATAAGCAACCGATTTAAACAATAAACCCTTTCTAAATTTAGATAACAATCATCCATAATTCCTTTTCAGTATAGCTTATGGCGTAGACAACAATGTTACAACCTCAGGTAGATGTTGATATTTGACTAAATGTCCTCATTGGGAGGAGAGCACAGTGTGAAACAGGGGAGTCAAAAAACTTTGGCCGTTTCTAATTGATTTACTGATATTAATTTCAGTCACAACATTTTAAAAAACTCGACCAATTCCTGGAAAATGACACAACATGCTATTAAAAAATGGATAAAAAAATGGAAACCATTCACTGAGAGCTCCCTTTTCTCCCCTTCTCTCCTCATTTCACATCACTCAGATTTCTTCCAAAAATCTCTTTCTCTCAGCCTTGTCTCACAAGAAGCGGCTCTTCTTGCTAAGATGAACCCATCTATATTCCCTTGATCTCATTCTATCCCATCTCTAGAAGATGATGCCATCTGTCATCTCCTCTTTCACACTTAACTTCAATCTCTGTCTATTGATTGGTTCCCTACTGGCTAAAAATACACCTGTGTCTTCTTCCTTGATCCTTCTACACCTGCGAGTGATGGTATCTCTTCTCTTTTTTTGTGACTAAACGTCTTGAGAAGGCTGTCTACAAGCAATGCC